AAAGAGGCAATTCGATTTCTAAAAATTTGCGAATTTTTTCAAAATTTTCAGCTTTCCGTGGAAAAATTTGCATGATTATTAAAAATTTCTTAAAAAACATATCAAGACGGACATTTTAAAAAAAATTAGAGGTGTCTAGCTACATTAGGGTCTGAGTTATAGCGCTTTGAATCAGAGGGGGGTTTTTCAACTTTGAGGGGGGCTAGCAAAAATCCCTAGGGGGGTAGGGATGGGGACTTTTGGGAAAATGGTCCTCTCAATGGGTACTATCAATGGGGGGAAAAATTAGCTTGTTACTAATTTGTTCACCAAACCCCCTCTTTTTTCCCTTCGTTTACTGGACTAACAAACAAGTCAATTTTTCATTGGGTTACGGTTACAAGGGAAGGGCGAATTATTCCATTTGACCGGAAAAATCTCGTTTAAAAAAAACTGCAGCTACTTTTTGCTTTAACAGCAAAATGTAAGAGGATCCGCCATTACACATCTGAATTAAATAATTTTCCCATTTTTTCATGATGAAATACAAACCAGCCAATTTTCCATCGGGTTACAAGGGCGGATTATGCCATTTGACCGGAAAAATCTCGTTACCGGACACAGTGATGAGAATTTTTTAGGTGTGCGGCATCCATTTCTGTGTATCCTAGGCTGTTGAGTCAGAGAATGACCTTGGTTTTCCTTACCAATTTCCCACAACATTGAATTGTTTTTGGGAACATCCGGTTTTTTCCAGAAAAATCTCGATTTGCCGAAAAATTGGTGATGAAAGGATAAAATCGAGGCCTTTTTTTGACTCAACTCTAATTATTGCGCTCACGGCGATCAAGGCATAAAACAAAATTCGACGGTGTAGGTCGGCAATCATATAACTCGGTTTGCGACGTCGCAGACTCCCTGTCATATTTATTTTTTAAACGGAAAACTACTCAACGACAATTCTTTAAAACTGCCGTGATTTTTCTCCTCTGTGCGAAGAAAATTCAGCATAAACTTCAAGGAATGATGTCAATTCGTTTTCCTTTAAAAAAATAACATAGAGGCGGAGATTTTCAGACACCGTAAATAAAATGAGATATGTGATTGTGGACCTACGCCGTCGAGTTGCCTTTTGCTGAGCCTGAGTTGTTTCCATTGAAAACACGAAATTCATAAAATTTCAGACGTATGTATATTCTAAATTACGCAGCTTTCCTAGAAGGGAAGTTTCCAGACAGAAAAAAAATGAAAAATATGGCATTTTTGATTTGAACTGTTTTCAGTATTCAAAATCCAAATAACATCTAGCTTTTTTGGCCTAACTAAATTATTTGTATTGCTTCAGACCTTTTTTGGAGGGCAGATATTATTGTCGAGGGAGGAAAATTATAAACTTTTTTTCTTAAAATCTTTAAAAACATTTTATTTTTCAGTCTCAGTTATTTTTTCTATCACTTCAAAATTTCGGCAGTCTCTCGTCAAACTTTTAAATGTACTTTGTCAATTTATTTTCACTTCTGTGAATGTTTGTTAGACATCACTATTTATCGAATCTACGGTTTTAGTTTCGTCGCAAATTGCCTGACAGGCTTTAATTGTGACTATGTCCTCGGGAGAGAGGCCTTATAGTCCATCCCCCCCCCCCCATTGAGTCATTACCGTCACAGCATGAAGGAATGAAGGAGTTATTCACTAACATTTTGAAGCAAACGACTTCCTACATCGTATTTAACCAAACCAGAGATGTGGTGGATTTTTGGGTGGAACTTTCCGGTTCAACCAAAATCATTTCGCATGGAAAAACATTTTAAGATCCCAATTTTCCAGGATTGATTCTGGCTTGAGCCACGAATTTTTCAGATTAAAATACAAATTTTCGCCCTCAGTTGGCACAAAAATGAGGTGACGTGCTTGAAACATGTTTTTTCAACTGCCACAGAATGTATTCGGTTGAAATTTCGAAATCCAAATTTCGTAACAAACACGACGAAAAGTGGTCCACGCGAGATTTTGCCTCCGTGTTTTGAAGGCCCTGCGTCAATGGACGATCATATTTAAAGGTGAAACGGTGAGTGGCAAAAAACAAAAGCAAATGATAATCGAAAAATATTAATTAAGTTCATTTTTGATTAAATGGGATGGTACGCGGAGCAATATCATATACAAGTTACTGCGTCACGCAAGTAAAACGCAATTTGCGTGTAGTAGGCTTAAAAACCCAATTAATCTGTTCAAAAGTTCAAGTGACACCAGTTGCTGCTTCAAAGCAGCTTACGTTGCCAGCTCATGGTATTGAAAGCAAGCTGGTCAGAATGAAGACAACACGTTAATTATTGACTTACTATACTATATACTTACTTTACATATCGATGGGCAAAGGGCGGAACCACTTATCTCCATTCCAGTATTTCAAAATATCCGCTTCTGTTTTATTTATTTATTTATTTATTTATTTTTTGAGGAGAAATAAGCCAACATTATAGTTCAATATTTTTACAGAATATTCTTCCTAGGGAGAGAAAAAATCCAGGAGGTTTACAATGAATTACGTCGAATAGTTTTTCAAAAAAACTACATATGAAGTATGACAAGAAGTCTAAAACGTCGGAAATCAGGGCCGGATTTACCTACTTGCCGCCCATGGGCAGCTAGTATTTGGGCCCCCTTTTCATTCATTTTGAAACATCAATGAAAACCATCAAATGAACGTGCAATATGGGGAGAGGTGCATAAGACGCGTTTACTGGTGTTGAACAAATTTTTTTGGGAAAGCTCTGTCAACACTACTAAGAATAGTTCACGGAACTTTGCGCGAAAGTTAAGTTTCGTAAACCTATCTCTGTGTGTACAAGGCCTTCCATTCATAAGAAATGAACGAACTTTTAACTTCCGCCGCCGCGCCTCGCAGACTGCACTGTGTTTGACGCAATTCGTGAAGTATTCACGCAGTCTTGTAGGCGCTAATATGTGTTACATGCCGATCGCCGCGTCGAGGGCTTCTCCTTTTCATCTCAAGTCCTCGTCATCATTTCTCTCTAGGTAAGTTGCGCCTTGCCAGGCCAAATTGCGTGTTTAGTTTCTCTCTTTACTCGACTAATTAAAGGTGCTGCCTCTTGTATCACTGAAAGACGACAAAATTAGAATTTACTATACCCTCAGAAAATTAGAGATTTTCTCGCTTTTTCTCGTTTGTAATTTTTTTTCTAAATCCGATTGCTTTTTATAACCACATTTAAAAAAATTGCAAAATTTTCCGCCCCCTATAGATTTGCCGCCATGGCAGCGGCCCATATGGCCACCCCCTTAATCCGGTCCTGTCGGAAATGGAGATACGTATAGTTTCGAACTTTTGCCATCGACATGCATTACGTGCATTACGATGGCGAAACTGCAGGAACGCGTATCTCGGTGTGTGACATCGCAGACCTCCCGTATAACATAATTTTTTACTAAAGGTAACCTCTTGAAAGCTTCCTTGCTTATTTTCTACCGTGTTTGAAGAATATTACGTAAAAATGTTAAACAAAAGCGTTGGTTTGTACTTCTTCGATAAAATAAAATGGGTGCTGAGATTTTGAATATTAGCAAAATCGGACGCGAGTCTTCGCAATTTCACATTCGATAAGCCCACCGATAACTTGCTTCACGAAAGTTTTTGTTGGGTAAACAAAAATTCCCATTAATAATTCCCGGACGAGGATTCTAGTTGGTTCAGCAAGAAAACTCCTTGTTTCAAGTGGTGTTTCTTTTCTTTCAAAAATACGTCCTGTCACTTTAAAGAGATTTATGGGCGGACCCAACGAAAAATCTCGTAGGGGAATTCTGCCGTGCTAAGGAAGAACGCCGTATGAACATTCGAGAGTTGCCAAATTTCCTCCGATAAAATGTCCATTTTTAAGGAAAGTTATCAACACTTTTCTTTGAAATTGTTACACTATTTGGATCCAATTACGAACGAAATTCTTTCATTACATATACATTTCTCTGATGTTTCTAATTTTATTCTCTCTGATTGCATAAGTAGTTATGTCCTCATTTCATTTCCTTTCCCTTTCATTTTTTCCTTTCTGGTAGCATCTGTATCCATTTACAATTATTATTTTAAAATAGTTTTCCCTTGCATACATTTGAAGTTTCAAACGGTACCTATTTGTTTTAATGACATTTCCCGCTAAATCATGGGTTTTCCCAGGAAGGCAGCCTCTCGCCCCTCCCAGACTTTACCGCTGCCAGATAAGTTCCTTTTTCACGACTTTTTCCAGTTTAAATCCATGAAAAATATTCCCAGTAATAGCACAATCTGGCAACCCCTCGAGTGAAGTAGAAAAAGGTGGAATCGCCTAAAAGTGAGATCCTTCGAAGTTTAGATTAATGAGATTAATGAGATGATGATGCCTTTTTTTCTCGACGTTGCCATATACTACAGAAAATTATTTGTGCAAAAATCATTTTGTGCGGCAACGAAAATCGGAAAAATTACCACAAATGTACTTTGTGCGGAAAAGATAGTCAGCCGAGCCAGGAATCGCAGCTTCTAATTGCAAAATGAGGTTCTTGTGAAAGTGGCTTTTTTACAATTGTGTCCCATATGATCTGGCAACAGCTGATTTTCCTCGGTTACTTTCAAGAATTACAGCTCATTTGTTGGATAGAGAACCATAGCCGGAGAGACCGCCAGACGTAAGGTCGAGAGACTGACAAAAGGATTAGAGGCCATAGCTAAATTTCAAAAAAAAAAAAAAGGTCGGGAGACGGCACGAACTTTTACAAAAAAGAGATGTCAACTGCCAACGGGACGGTAGGAACCTAAAAATAAAATGCGTTTTTCTCCGAGTCTCCAACCGCGATTTGTTTCATTCGTCATGAAATCTCGGTGCTCGTATATTTGTGCGACGCTCCGCTTGAGCAATTTTTCCAAAAAGCCAAAATACGTCAAAGTAGAAAGTTAATGGTAGTGCTTCATGTGCGCGCCCTTATGGTAGTTCAGTTTTAAGATAGAGACCAAGTTGCGTTGTGCTCAGCAGTGTTTCCCCGAACCATCTTGTTTTTCTGTCATTTTTTGTTTGCCATTACCTGATGTTGTTGAACTATCGTAAAACTTTTCCTCTTTTTCCCAGCACTCTTTATTTGATAAACTTGCGACTATTGCCGGAAGTGTTATCTTGATCTAAATACATGATGTACGCATCATAGACTCTACAATCATATATATTGCAATGTTTGATGGATAAATTATCTTAATTTTATTGGTGCTATTGACACTCAGTCATTTGGAATTTATAAGAAACCGAATATATGAATCCATTTTTTACCCTCCTGGAATTTTACCCGTACAATAAGTATAAAAAAAGGTTCTAGAAACTACAAAAAATAAATTTTTGTCCCTTTCAGTTTTGTGTACCATGAAGTGTCCGACTGTTACAAAAGTTGTCATATTTTTTCTGGAAATCACTTCTTATCAACGCACGGGTTCGTATTATCTCTTACTTCTTTTCTACCTTTGTATGATAAACAAGTCAAATTTTTACAGTTGTTCCCACCCTAATAAATCCATAAAACGAGACTCGTTGAATTTTAAAGGACCCAGAGGAATCATTACACAAAAAAGGGAGAAACATTTACTTAAAAATCGCTGAAAGTCTCTAATACATTCAATGTGAGTGCAAGGAAGTTTTGTGTTATTGTGTTGCTGAATGTATAAAATGACAGTAACCGTAAAAATGCCGAGAAAAAATTTTTTGGGACTTTAAATTGAGGACGTCCCATAAAGGGGTGGTGGCAGGGCGTTGACGAGGGGATGCTGCAGTGTCAGTTGCCCGATAATCTCTGGGAATGATAGGCATAATATGTGACGCTTTTGTGTCTCAGAACGCCAGAGTGCGTTGTAGGAGTGACTTCATACAATACATTAATTGGACTACATTTTGCAATTTGGAACTATAAATTCCAGCCCGGTTTAAAAATAACGTATGTGCCAGTAGTTTCCCTAAGCACATAAGTGTTTTTCCAGAAGAGGCAGAATTTATAGTTCCAAATTGCAAAATGCAGTCCAATTGAAGCGATCCCTTTGAATTGGGATAATATGGACTGCATTTTGCAAGTTGGAACTATAAATTCTGGCTCTTCTGTAAAAACACTTATGTGCGTAGGGAAACTAATGGCGCATACGTTGTTTTTAAACCGGGCGAGAATTTGTAGTTCTGAACTGCAAAATGTAGTCCATATGTACTTCTGCGCTTTTCAATCAGATAAAGTAAAGTAGCAATCTTTTTGAAACCAACGGGTTTGCGAGCGATTTCTCTTGTTAGTTTTTAAAACGACGAAATCCCAAATATCCGCATGATTACTGCATTTTGAGCGGGATTCTGGGGTCGAACCGTGGTAAACTTTTTGTATTTATTCAGAAACTACGGCGGATCAAGGGACGTTACTTGGGTCATTAAAGAGAATATACAGGAGTGGAAGAGAGTAAGCAAAATGAGAGGACTTATCGATTAATTTTTCTGTACCTATAGTGTTACATTGAAAACACACAGGAATTTGAAGTAACATAAGTTTATAAAACGTGGGAATGTTCTGAATGATATTGAGATGTTTGTTGAAGAGTTAAGAATGATTTACACGCATTGAGAGAACATTCATGGTTTGAGCGTTTGACTGCCGGAGTGTGTTCTGAATTAAAAAGTAACAATGTGTACCGTTACAGCTTTTAATATGATCCTAGGGCACTAAACAATTGATTTATAAAAGAAACTTACCCTCAAATAGTCATGATAAAAAAGTAAAAACTCATGAAAATGGCTAAGTATTGAGCTAAATGTCCATGTCTGTTGTCACTAAGCAGATGTAAACAATCGCCCATTGACTACAGTCTTCCCTAAAAATAGGGTTTATCCTGTCGGTTCTTATTTATCTAATGAAGGTTTTAACCATTTAAACGTACGAGGAATCCATTTCTGAATTCCACTTTGTTCAAAAAATTATAGATCGACTCGATATTTGCATTTGAAAAGGGGCTGCCAATTACTTATGGGAAAATAAATTGTAAGTGATTAAAAGACCAGGTCTGTCGCACCATTTGACGTCACAAGTATGACGGATGCGTTACCGCGTAAAAATGACCGTTTTGAAAATCCAAATTTTGAGGCGTTTTTAAGTTGATTTTTTGGGGGTCTCCGGTGATCAAAAAACTTCGAGAAAATTCCTGTGACATCAGGAGCCTTACCTCTTTCGATTAAAGCAATAAAAAACAAGCGGGAAAGTTCTAATACTGTCGTATTAGAAAAGCGCTCGGGTGTTAGTAAATGAAGAAAGGACGTATAAACTCCGTCGACTTGGCTGGGAAATGGAAATAAAAAATCAGCTGATAGCAAGCAAAGGTTACCAAGGAAACCGTAAACGCGTATTTTTGTTTCCCGAAAATGAGCTCACCGTTGAGCTCATCAGGCGCGTTTTTTTTTAGGCTTCATATGAGTTCAACGATCAATTTCGATAAGAATTACTCTACCGCTAAGAAATTTTCTTATAGACAAACGATCGAGACTACCTGCGCATCACGTTAAAAGCATAAAATACAGTTTTCACAGCTTTACTTATTTTAAAAATGGACCCCCCCCCCNAAAAAGCCTACACATCGATGAGCTGGTGCGCCATTTAAACGCATTAGCACTAGTATACTAGTACTCAGAGGCAAGTCGAAATCAAAAAGCGCTGCCTATCGGCTGAGCGCTTAAAATGGTGCAACAGGCCCATTGTTTGGCAACACTGGAAATTAGTGTGGAGTGTGTTAATATACACTCACCGGTAGAAGTATCGCTGCTGATGGAATGTGTGATCAGAAGCGATCATTGGAATTGGAAAAGATTGTGCCCTACGTCCCGCGACACGTGTAGAAAAGTTTTAAAAAATTCGTATACTTAAATTGATAAAAGGATTTCGGGGTGTAAAGTGCACCCCGTCACGCGACACTCGAGTAAAAAAAAAGTTCGGAACTCATCGTGTATAGGTTTTTTTTTTTTTTTTTTTTTTTTTTAATTCGAA